TCATCCCTACACCATCAACTTCTATAGTAATACCTTTCTCAAGGTTATTCTATAAACCTTCATCACAACCCTTTATCAAGACCAAGGAGTTAAAAATATATTTTGTTTTTTCATTATTTAAATTCAGTGGAATCACCCTTTGAATATGGTAGGAAAAACAATATGATATTTTTCATGTGGCATTTGACTCCTTCTTGAACGAAAGTCTTTAACAAACATATCTTTCTTAGTGGATCATTGTCTGCGCCACTGTTAAGTTTTATGCATAGACCATGCTCTAATACCAACTAAAGGTGAGAAAAGTACACAATAAGGAGGGTTAAATTGTGTTTTTTGTTTTCTTAGTCTGCATCTGATCAGAGTTCAGAGTCTAAACTGATGTTTGATTTCTGGTTTATTCTTAGCAGTAGAATGTTAACAGAAGCAAATAATTAATAGCAGAAGACACAAAGATTTATACTGGTTCCTCCCAAACTAAGAGTAATTTAGTCCCCTTGCTTCATAAGATATTTTCACTATAATCAAAACATGATTACAATCGCTTATGCATTCTTCATAAGACTTTTACACTGCTCATACATTAGGTCCAAGACGTCTTGCTTAAGCCCCTCTGGCTCAAGACTTCTTGGTCAAGTCCTACAAACTCAAGACTTCCTTGCTCATACCGTAGCCCAAGATTCCTTGTTCGGGTTCCACGAACCCAAGACATCCTTGCTCAGACACGTAGCCTAAGACTTTCCTGCTCAAGTCCTTCAAACTCAAGACTTTCCTACTCCGACCGCAACCTAAGACTTTCTTGCTCATGTTCTACGAACCTAAGACTTTCCTGCTTAAACCCTTCAAGTTCAAGACTTCTGCTCAGACCCTCAACCCGGGACTTCCTTGCTTAAATCCCACGGATTCAAGACTTCTGCTCAATCAATATACTTGATCAAGAATTTCATTACTAAAGCACGTAGCATGAGACTTACATGGCTCAAGCATCTTGACGAGAGATTTCTTTGCTCAATCAATCCACTTGATTAAGACTTTCAATGCTCTAGCATATAGCAGGAGACTTACACAGCTCAAGCATCTTGGCGAGAAACTTTAGCTAAACTGCTAAACATCTTCAGCAGAATAGAGAACAGGGTGTACTTGATACAAATATCAGAGGTACAGGGAAATCACCATAACAAAGACCTAAAACTCTTAAGATTTCTAAGATATTCAATGTTTAAGAAATATTAAATTTTTTACAATTACAACCTACAACATAAATTTTGCATACTCGATTGTGTTGATAATTGCTGATCTTATTATACCTCCATCAGGCTGGTCCTTATTAAAGATTCAATTTGAACCTTTAGCTAATTCTATAGCATATGCAGAAGACTAGCCATTGGGAGAGATAACTTGATCAAGTGCCTTTGCTTTCTCCATAGTACAAGAGGAGTTGAAGATAGGTACACCAAAAGATCTTGATCCATTGTGTAACATGTTTAACCGTTAAGTTTTCAATGAGATCATGTACTAATAGAGCCGTTGAGAGTAAATATCTGTAAAGCAGGTCAAATCTTATTGAGCCTTGTGAACTTAGACTTTACCTGACAAAATGATTTGACAATGCAGCTTGCTTTCTGCAGTACAGACAACTTCAGCTTTATCACTAACTCTGAATGATATCAGAAGCCAATTTACACTCACCAAGTTTAGAGACAATTATGTTGCTTCTTCTGATGCTGAGACCTTCAGCTTCAGAGTCTATGTCAGACATCACTTAGCAAGTGCTCTTCAGATTTTGTACCACCAGAAGCTAGCAATTCAACTTCTCTTAAGTGTGTTCTTGTGTATCAAATTATAAATATATATCAATAAGTATTAGAACCTGCATACATGAAACACACGTCAAAATATACCATTGTACTTTCAATACTTTGTTATCATCAAAAACCAAGGAATATATGTAATGAACAAATCTTGTTCTAACAAGTATGATCTAGCTGAGCCTACTGATCCTCTAGAATCTCCTGATGATCTGGTCTCAGCGGATCTTATAGAGCATTCGGCACCATATATAGATTTGATACCGTGAAGAACCACCTGATGCATTTGTCTACGTAGCTCCAGTCATTCGGTGCTATGGTAGCCCAAGCCTCATCTGGTACCATATGACTCTAATAATAAGCAAACATCTCCTTTATATGTATATGAGTCAAAGCAAGATGAGCAAAGATAACAGGATGTCTGGGGATGGTTTGGGTGTACCCAAACTGCCGCATGACGCGCTCGGGCAAATGAGGAGAAGTGATATGCGATCCGCAGGCCAGTCATCCGGAGTGTAGAGATATGTCATCAAATGGTCACGTCTGACGATGATCCGCGTAACAGTTGAAGTGGATGTCCTCAGCAACCAAGCGGTCAAGATAGACTCTGAAAGGCTCGACCTTCTGGTTCCCTCTCAGCGGGATAAAAGCACATGCACATGGCATCTCCTCAATGTAGTCATCCCAACTCACCCAGCCAGCGATGCACGAGAAGTGATGGAGGATACAAGCCTGAAATGAAAATAAAAAGCATTCAGGGATCAAGAATTATCGCATATATGAAATGAAAAGGATAAAAAAAAACATTTGAGGATAAAAAATTATTACCACTAGCAGTGTCGTGCTGCCTGTGACCTACTTCGTTCTCCATCAACATTCATCTCTCAACTTCGAATACAGATAGGTCAGGAAAGCCACCCCCCAGTTGTAATCATGGATCTGTATGAGATCCAAGAAGTATCAGAGTTATGCAATGTTAGTATCTGTGGCACTCGTGTCCACAAAAATGCAAGTGTCGACAAAAAAAGAAAATATATCCTCAAAGCATGAATCTTGTGTAAGGTCACATGCACGACATCACCATCAGACTGTTGTACATCAGGATCATCAGCGGGAGGTGGCCCCGGATCAGCAGGAGGTGGCACAAGTGCATCCCGATGTCTGCAGGAGGATGAGGAAAGTGACGCGTCAGCTGGTCCATCCTGTCTCCTACGGGAAGAAAAAGAAGATGGAGTGGTCTGAGACGAAGGCGGAGTGGGCTGAGGTGAAGGCCGAGCCCCAGGAGTAGACTGAGCCCTAAGAGTAGACTGCGCCCCAAAAGTTGATGTCTTTGCCTGACCAGAGGCGCCTGCTACCTCCAGAACCTACTGGCTTCGTTCCTGCTGAATGGATGCATGCTGAGAAACGCGTCCAAGTATCAGTATGTCGACTCTGTCAGCCATTATGCTTGCAAGGTAAAATTAGGCATATAATCAGTTTACGCAAACGAACAACATAAACAAGAAAATTATGAAAAATTAAAAAATACAGACCGAGGAAATTCTGAAGATATATCTACGAAAATATCTCTTACACTATCACGGAGATGTAACTATGGGATTTCCCAAAGCATATGAAAGGTTGAACTTTTTCGGAGATGTATCTCTGAAATGTTCAGAAAACCAGAGGTCGCGACAATGGCATCCTCAGCTACTTGGATTGTGAAAATTAAACAACGTGATCATCCATTTCAGCCAACAAATGCATACAATTACTCTAAATTATGTTTCATGTGATTTCTAAACATTTCTACACCTAACAATTGATTCTAACTCATTTACAACAAAACTCGAATATTTATCGAAAACTCAAAAAACTTACCAGAAATTTATGATTTGGAAGATGAAATGGATTATCCTTGATGTTTCCTCGAGCCTCCTGTTGATGAAATCTAATTTGATAAAGTTGGAGAATATTGAGAATGAGAGAATGGAAGAGTTGTGTTTGAATAAAAATGAAAAGTGTGGGAGAAGAGTTTGGCGCGGTATTAACCTTCAAAATGTTTCGAAGATATATTTTCGCAATATTTTAATGTTCAATTGAATTTTAGTGCGTCCAAAGATATATCTCTGAAATTTTAATGTTCAATTGAATTTTAGTACGTCCAAATATATATTTTAAAATCAATGGACATGTGTGAAAATTTGCATGGTGTGAAAGAACTTTATATAGTGGAAAAAGATAATGTAGTAGTTGGATTGTTTGAAAATTTTAAAATTATAAAATAATGAAGAAAAAGAAACCAAATGAGACTCATTTAAAGAATTAGGGTGTAAATAGTGAATGTGGATGCTCTAATCCACTTTGACAATTTAAAGAAAGTTTTATAAAAAAGACTGAAAAATCCCAACAAGGTCTTATCTCTCTGTATATTAAATGAGATAGTTATATAGTAAATAAATTATTTTAAAAATATTTTAAAATATAATGCTACAAAATTATTAATGCACACATTTAGTTAAAGAAATATAGGATTGATGCGTTCAAATGTTTGACTTTAATATTTAATATTATTATATTTTCATATTAAAAATATTATAACAAAAATTAAATTAAAAAAGTTATGGCAACCACCTATAATCTTTTAATATAATTTTTTAATTTCTCTCATTTACCATGATTTAGTTTTATGAAAGAAAGAAAAAAAACTCTGCAAAATCCTTTCCTTCCTTAACGAGAAGAAATAACTTTAATACTGTTTTTACGCTACTAGTTTAGATATGTAGGTTTTGTTATGACCATAGAAGGACTCATTCCTCTGAAAATTTTGAGTATGGAACCAACTGTCCCTGTTTTTAATTAGTTTATTAATCGAATATTTGAATTCTAATTCATGTTCTTGGCTATTCTTGTAATGGTAAAAGAGGCACCCTCAAATTCTATATCTATCGTGTATGAAAATGGTAGATGTGGTCTTGGATCAACATATCAAAATCCCTAAGCATTGGTTAAATTCTGCCATACTAAATCTCCTATCTATAAAATCCCATTTTACAGTTTGGGTCTATGGTAGCAGTGTAGACCCATTAACACCAAAACAGAGTTTTGCATCACACATACTAAATTTAAAACTAATACACGCTGCAAGGACCAAAAAAAACCATCGACATTCGATAACAGGACTTCTAGCACAACTGACCCATCTTGGTAAGAACCTTAATTTGCATCATGCTTTTCCATAGCTGCAACCAAATGAATGTATGATCAATATGAAACCACTGATATTAGATAATTGACACACAGAATAATATAGGGATCAGAACTTACTATTGTAATTAAGTAGCTTCTCAATAAGGTCAACATGGGTCATAAGCATGCGCCTACAACAATAACGAACCAGCCCCAAAGCATCCAGTGCATCTCTGCAAACCATCCAACACTGTTAATACTGACATTATTCATGAGATAAACACTGAAATGCTCTCAAGAAATCTAGTATATATAAGATGATACATAATAACCTTTAAGAGTTCAGAGAAGATCAATATTACCATTGCTTTTTAAAAAAAGCTATGCCAAATGCAAACAAAATCTTACTCAATGACCATAGTTTAGTTTCAAAAATGCTGCAATTAGTCTAGTACTCTACACCAAGTCTTTATACTGCCTAACAAATTTTTTCTTTCTCGTGGTGTTCACAATATTGAAAATATTATTGAAAAGGTAATAATATAGTAGCCAGCAATTAAAATTATGACTTGAGACCACTGAGTTACAACTTCAAATATTGCACAGCTATGACAAGCCAATAATTTTGGAACAAGAGAATCATAAGCACAGATTGGTTTACCCTCACCCTTTCAATAAGTTAACAAAACTATAATTTAAAGTTACCGTGCTTGTCCTCGGAAACTATTACACAAAGTGCAACTACAAGGAAACACGTCAATTGATTATGTGTTCATACAAACAACTTTGAAACAGAAGACACTAACAATCATGCTACAACAAAAGGAGTCTAGGATTAGACACAATCATGATCATAACCAAAGCATACCAAATGGTAGCCAAAAAAATTGTGAAACTAAGGACCGGTTTCAAATACCTTATTTGAGCTTATCTACTTGCATAAGCACTTGTGAAACTGTTTGAGAGAGTCTATAAAAATGACATGTTTATAAGTTCTGTTTTCAGCTCATTACCATAAAACACTTCAGAATACCTTATGAAAATAATGTATAGTTTATATAAGCTCTTATACCATAAGCACTTAACTAAGCTGTTTATCCAAGTAAGATCAAACTCTTGAATGAAAATTTTCACAAGCAACTCCCTCTCAAACAGAAACAACACAAATAGTTTCCAAGTAACATAATCAATTTCCTATAAAGAAAAAGCAATTCAGAAAAATAATTAACAAGAAAAAACCCTAAAATTATCTGTCACTACAATACCTTACTCAGATTTTAAAAAAAACAAAAAAAAAAAATTGAAAACATGGATTCAACAAATGAAAAAAAAAACCTAAATAGGAAAAGAGACAGAGAGAGAGAGTAGAGCACCGACCCTTCTGTATAATCAGCCTGGAGAAAGTCGAGATATGAATCCCATTTGTTTCCAATGACCTAATGAGAAGAAAACAAAACGAATTTAACATGAATTAACCAAAACCCTAAATTCTAAAATCGTCGAAAAGGTCCAAACTTAAGAGCTATAATCGATCAGATGCGGCAAAAAGTGGAAGGAAGAGTATATTGGGATGAGTGGAAACCTTTCCGCAAGTGAAACAGCGAACGGGGATAATCATCTTCCTCTGTGTGTTCGTTCCTCTCTGCTCGCGCTAAGGATTTTTGCTTGATGATTTATGTTTTAGAATAAATAAATAAAACTTTGTGTTTCAATAAAATGGTTTAGGCTATAAAAGGTTTATCATTGCCCATTGGGCTTCGAAATAAATATTCAATTTAACGAGATTTTATCTTGCCACCTCTATTTATATCTCGCACCTCCTAAAATTGTGTTTTTACTATTATTATGCTCTTGTTTAATTTTTCCATTTTTTAAAAACTGTTGTATATTACCGGACTTCTTCATATAATATCTTAAATTTTAGTTGCATGGGATTTCTTTATGAATTTATACCGGATTTTTGATAAAAATACTGGAGTTTACGTGTTTTTGTGAAGAAATACCGATTATTTCAAAAAAAATATGGCAGAAAATACTGGAAATATATTGTTTTCTAAAAAATGTATGAAGAAATATTTGATTTTTCAAATACAAATGCAATTATACTGGATTTAACAAACAAAAAATATGGCAGGAAAAAGGTTTTTCACAAAATTGTTTTCTTAACTATCGAATTTTTATAAGAAAAAATGGCAGTACACTACTTGATATTAGATATATTGAAAAATTTTGATCAAACCAAATTTTCTGAATTTTTAAAAAATTCGATAAATGATGGTGTTTTTTAAATGTTTTTTTTTAATTAAATCTTTGACATTTTTAACAAAATAATATGAAATAATATCATATTGTATCAAAAGTATATGTATAGTCACAATTAACCCACTAATATATATATATATATATATATATATATATATATATATATATATATATATATATATATATATATATATATATATATATATATATATATATATATATATATATATATATATATATATATATATATATATATATATATATATATATATATATATATATATATATATATATATATATATATATATATATATATAATGGATAGTATACTATAATATTAACAATATAAATACAAAATAAATTGTATAAACTTCCCAATTTCTGCACAGTATCTTATATGTCCTACGTATGTTTTTTCCCATGTTCTCACACCTTAACTATAGTTCCATCTCCAACGGTTAGTGACAAGAGGCAATGAACAATCAGGTTTCAGCTTCACCTGAACACATGACTCTTGTTAATAAATAAAAATTTAGACTTAGAAACACAATGCATTTTTTAAAAATTTTAGACTATAGATTAATTTGAGGTTAGATTGTGGAGACTTGGGAAAAATTCATAAGATCGGTACCGTTTTAACACCTTAAGTCTCATGAATATGAAAATCGATTTAAATACTTGTTATGACGTAACCTTGAATTCTTATCCTTTAATAGCTCTTAAGTAGTTTATCCAGCAGTCAACACCATCTAGAATACGTACACTAAGTAATTAAGCTGATGCAAATAAATGAATGATCTCCTGCTTAATAAGAAATCTGAATAGGAATTCGTCTTTTAAGTTAGGTGACCCTCACCCGGTCACTTAGTTTAACGGTTGTGAAACCTTCAAAAAAAATTGTTGTTACTAAAGTGGTTATTTTTGAGTTGTTGACAAGATATGGATCATAGTCACTAATAGGCTTATTTACTATGTATGTGAATAGATAATTGCCTTAATGTGATTGCATCAAAATGAAAGAGAGCAAAAAGGAGGATGAGTAAGTTATGCTTAGGCATAATCACATGATTCATATTGGTTTGTATATGAGGGAGGTTTATGACCGTACAATCGCAGGTTTGTGTTCTTATGATATTTTTAGTGTGCAAAATCAGTACCTATCGATATAATCTTAACCGAAGAAGAGTTTGTAGCCTAGAATGAGTATCTGAATGCTACTGTTTTTCATGAGTCTTGATATTATTTTGCTTGGAGTGCAAAAGTTTAAGTGTTGAGGGATTTGATCAGTGCATCTTCATGCACATTCTTCTATTGTTATACTTAAACATTCCTACAGTTTGTTTGAGTATTTGTACTATTTTAATGTGTTTTCATATTTAAGTTTGTTTCTAGCTTTATTTTATTTTCACAACTTATTTTCAGCACTAGCAGTTACTTGATACATGTTCACCGTGCAAACCATAACTTGAGCTACGAGAATTAGATTGACGTGTTCTAATAGGCGTTGGAAAGATAAGACCAAGAGCTATAAGGTTTGTGTTGAAGCCAGAAGCTGACTCGGAGTGTAGCAAGCTTGAATAATTCGTTGAAGTTTCAGACTTTAGAAATATTTAGATTTGGGTCAACTTTTTTATGTTTTTTTTATCCAGATGGGTTAGAACCGAAATTTATGATGCCCTCCTATACCTAGCAGTTGTGCACTATTCATTAGTACTTTCTTTTCACTATTCACAATTTTTGCTTTTGCTTTGTACGAATCTTATGGAGAGCTAAACTCCTTCGGGTTGATCTGTTGTAACCGTATCTCCGTTAACTTGGAGATTAATATAATTTTCAAGTAATTTTGATTCTCTTTTCAATTCTATCTATAATTCTGAATACTTTATTCAATTGTTTTTGCTTTCTTAATTCAATTGCATATTTTATAGAATATGATTAATTCGATTGATGTATGTTCTGTTCATTGTAATCGTATTTTCTTAATTCATGTTTGAGTTATCTGTTTGCTTAATTCGGATTTAGGAACATAAATCATATATTAGTTTCAATCACGCTTGTTAATTGTTACCGTAATCAAAAGGGAATGGAATCCTCTTAGAGCTTGGGAATTATATGATCGATGATAAGTGGGAGAATGAACAACAGATTAACTTATTTTATAATCACTTATATTTTTAATCAATTTTTCTAAATCGAAACCAAACACCTCCCCCCCCCCCCATAAACCTTTACTTTAGTTGGTTAATTCAATACAAGAATCCTTGTGATACGACTTGAGTCATTGTCGCTAAATTACTATTTTTAAAATTACTTATTTTGATATGTGCATAACACAAATCAATTTGGCGCCATTGCCGAGGATTCATGTTGATTTTAGTCAATTTTAAAATTTTAGTTTATAGTTTTGTTAGTTTTTTTTTACTTGTTGATTTTCAGGGTTGCAATACAATGGTAAGCATTCTAGCCTATCAGGTAAATTTGGAAGGTACTGTTTCGATTTGCTCCGAATTTTTTTCCAGAAAATTAAAAAAAACGACGAACAATACTCTATTCTAAAATATTTTGACCCTGAAAATCACAAATTCCTTATTTTCCTATTTTATTTGATTTATTTTCTATTTTCATATTTTCAACAAAATTCAAAATTTTTTGTAGAGACTTCTTATGATTTTATTTGATTTTTAGTCATATTTTTATAATTTTTAGATTTTATTTTAATCTCTTTCCTATTTTTCCACTCTTCTTCTCAATAGGGACATTGTTGGCATTTTCGCATTTGTTGAATTGCTGAATTGATTTTTTTAATTTCTCATTCTTTGTTAATTTTTTTCCCTTTTGATAACATGGTTGAACAATGAACATTAAGAGAGCTTGTTGCGCCTGATGTTCAATACAATGGTTTATGTATTGAATAAACTAATGTTGTTGTTCCTTTCGAATTGAAATCTGGTTTAATACACTTGTTGCCAAAGTTTAATGGTCTTGTAGGTGCGGATCCGAATAAGCATCTGAAGGAATTTCAGATTGCGTGTTCTACACCTTCTGGACTTTTACTAGAGGACCTTGTCAAGCAAATTGTTATAAATAATCTCCAGTTTAAGCAACGAACATATTCTAGTATTAAGGCTTTACAGACACTGATTGGACAACTTGCCACTTCAATGAATGTCATGCTACAAGCTTAAGAATTAAACCTGCTATCTGCTCAAACAATAGCGAATCTAAAAGAGTTACTTTTTGAAATTGTTGATGAAGCTTATTCTGATTTGTTTTCAGCTGATTTTCCATCATTGTCTAATTTTAATGATAATTACTCATGTGATGATTGTAATGACACTAACCTTTGTTCTGTTTGTGCTGAGATTGAGGCTGACTTGCAAGTTGACATTTTTATTACAGATGGAGTTGTAGATGAAGTTGTTTATACAGCTGAAGCTCTCGACACTTCGGCTGCTCCAGCCAAACATTCAATTGAACAACCGTCTTCTGAACCACTTCCTAAGGATTTATATTATTCATCAAAGATTAAATTTGAGCAGGAAGAAAAATTATTGCAGGAACATAAGAAAGGGATTGGATGGACCTCGATTGAAGATAGAATAAAATTAGTGAGGCAGCCCCTTAATCCTTTGATCTCAGATGTTGCGGAAAAGGAGATTAATTTTTAGGCTATAGATTAATTTGAGGTTATATTATGGAAACTTGGGAAAATTCATAAGATAGGTACCTTTTTAACACCTTAAGTTTGACGAATATGGAAATCGATTTAAATACTTGTTATGACATAACCTTGAGTTTTTATCCTTTAATAGCTCTTAAGTAGTTTATCTAACAGTCAACATCATCTAGAAATCACACACTAAGTAATTAAGCTGGTGCAAATAAGTGAATGATATCGTGCTTAATGAGAAATCTAAATAGGAATCCGCCTTTTAAGTTAGGCGACCTCACCCGGTCACTTAGCCTAACGATTGTGAAACCTTCAAAAAACAATTTGTTGCTAAAGTGGTTAATTTTGAATTGTAGACAAGATATGGATCATAGTCACTAATAGGCTTATTTACCATGTATGTGAATAGATAACGGACCAAATGTGATTGCATTAGAATGAAAGAGAGTAAAAAGGAGGATGAGTAAGTTAGACTTAGGCATAATAACATGATTCAAATTGGTTTGTATATGAGGGAGGTTTACGATTGCTGTTTCCCGTGAAAATTGGAAAACAACCGCTGATCTTCCAAATTTAACTTTGGTGACTCACAAGACCTATCAGATTGATCTTAGGACATGTGCTAAATACTGATTCAAAGAAAATTCTAAAGACTAAACACTTCGATAGTATTCATAAAGAAAACT